TTAATTTTAACACATCGTTTTCGTTATTAGCATACTTTAGAGCTACAGCAGAAAACTGTAAGGTACAAATAGGAAACGAAAATATATGAACCCTAACAACACCTTAAAAATTACGGAAAAACAGGCATCGCCCAAACATAACTGTCAAGAGAAAATACATTGCGATCCTTTACAATAGGTGAAGAATCCCTCTATAATTAGATCAAAATTTGGGAACAAAATTATATCGGTTGTAAATAAATCTCTATTATGGCTCTGTATATCGCGTGTATGGTATCATAGCTGGAGTAGTGATAGTATACGCACATACAAACTCTGAAACCGAATCGACAATCTCTGTATATTCTTTGTCTTTTGTTCTATTAAAAATATGTAATGGCATACCATAGTTGCCAAATAACTATCGCGAGATGCCCCCACAGTGTTAAAATAAAAATTCAAAATAAGGGATTTGAAAATGTAATTTTAAATGATTATAAAGTAAATGTTTAGTTAGTTTTATATTCATTACCTATAGTTGGTGGTTAGCAGAATGTATCAAATTTATACAAAAATAAGCATCACTTGCAACTTCTATGATAAAACGTAATGAGGTGTTAATATGATACTTTTAAGTGAATCAATATGTCAGCAGTAGTCTCATGACTTATAACTGACAGCAGTATTTTTATTTTAATTGAAAAAATACAGTTATAAATATAATAGCGCACAAACATTTAAAAATACAATGTGTATAAACATCCCACGATATAACTATTAATGTCTTCATAGCTTAACCTGAATATGTTTGGGTCTATTAGCCCAATATAAGTACCTCTTTTAATATTATGTGTACTTACTTTCACAAATATTTACGTCTATTCAGTCTATTTTCAATAAATTAATTTTGTTATTTATATAATGCTGTTCAAAAATAAAAAATATGATTGAATATTTTTAGTTTTCACGAGGGATTTTATAGTACATCCAAAGTTTTAAACTAATAAAATAAGCTAACCATGAAAAAAGACAGGTACTAATATCTGTTACTTTCTCTAATAATGGAACTGATATTTTTACATACATGACCATACAAATAAAAGATATATTAATATGAGAAAATAAAACTAAAGTTAATTCATTTACACTGTACAATTAGACAACTCTAGCAGACTTTCCGCTATAATCACGTATTGAGATAAAAATTTGGGGCCAAATTGTTTCGAATACAAATAAAACTATATGTTTTTGTAATATCTTAGATTTAAAATAAATAACATCTAGACAAGACCATTACCTTCATGTGTATAATGTCTAGTACGGATACGACACTATGCTTCTGCCTCAAGTATAATTTTACCTTACGATTCCCGTACGGCAATATTTCCGTGGTAGATGTTAAAACCTCAGAATGTAACGGAATTTTATTATCCGACAACTACCGCACATGTCACAGCATTGAAAAAAGCTATTAATTAGCAAAATAATAGAATTTGAAATTATAAATATTATTAAATCCATTTTTCTATTAGATATAATGAGCGTTTTATTCATATTGAACCCCTCTTAGAAAATATTATGTTTTATTAAAAATTGATTGAGATATGAAAAAATGCATACAAGCAAAGGCATAATAGCGTTCAAATTATCTTGGTGCATCAATCTGTTACTCTGTTAATATAATTATTATGGAATATTTGCATATATTTAGAAAAATGTATATATTTTTAGTACTTAGTGGAAGGGAGGAAATTACGTATGTGATGATGGTGGAAAATATAATATATTAAAATAATAATATATTTTAAAATATACCTTTTGATAAAAAAGCGAGATGCACGCAATCGTGGGGGACATGTTTTGGTAGAAATATTATTTATTATTTTTCTTAATTATATGGGAATAATAAGCTTACCGAAGTTACATAAGTACTTAATCACTGGAAACAGACAAAACTTTAGTATACCTATCCATATCCGGTTACATCACTGTGAATGAAGTATTTAATGTTTAAATTAGATTTATGAAAATGGTAATATATTTTAAACATCCCTTCTGATAATGAAGCGAAATGCATGCGAACGTAGGGTATATATTTTGGTAGAAATAATATTTTCATGAGAATAGCTAGCCGATGACATTCTTAATCAGTGGAAACAGACAAGCCTTTAGTATGTATATCTATCCATTTACATCTAGGCAGATATTCAAGTACATCGTGTGAATGAAGTATTTAATGTTTAAATTAGATTTAAAAATAATTTGCTTTAAATAATCGAGAATTGTTTTGAAAATCCTACGATCCAAAGTATGAGAGGTCTCATCATTATGAATTTAAATATTTGTGGTACTGTAATAGTGCTTCATTCTTATTATTTTATGTTTAACTTATCAATACCGTTTCGATTATTAGCATACTTTAGGCGTACAACAGTGAATATCACTGTGAAAGGATAAGTAAAAAGGAATACGACAATCTTTATTGTCCCAATAACTAAATAAGAAAAACAATTACCCACCTTTGCTCTACTATGGCGATACAATAAGTTCAAACATCTCCTTTTTATTAAGAAGGACGCAACGGAAATAATATAAACTTATTAATTTACTAAAAATATCACTTTAAAATGGCTGAAATAAGAAAATTTCAAAAAACACATCACTGGATGGGTAAAGAACATGGACCTGAATTCATTGTATTTATAATTATTAGTTTATCTAAAATCCATAAGAATGTTTAATTAAAAATATATATAGACATTGCAGCAAAAAAATAGTACTAGCTGTATTTCTCGAAATATGACAAATTTATATAAATGTAAATATACTTGCAGCTTCTTTGAGAGAAAAGTAAAGAGGTGCTAATATTTGCTTATGGAATATTTAAACTATCTGCTATGTATTTAGTACCTAACAGATGATAACTGTCGTGCGTGATATGCAATATAGAAAAAGTTTTGGCACAATTCTTCAAACAATTGGAACCCGTTCGAATAAACGTAAAGCTATATTAAAGTAAATTTACAATGGCTGCTAATAAAAAATATATATTTTAAAAGGAAAACAGCACCGTATTTTTCAGAACTCTTTTGGTAAAATATTTAAATTTGAAATATGAAGATATTTTTAATTTTATGTACGCGCGCCATTATTCCATGGCTAGAAATTGGCCCCAATGATTTGGGATCGAGGGAGATTATCCCTCTTTATCCTGCTATGTCGTTAAATATCGGTAGCTGATTTTGCAAATGAGCGACAAAGCAAAAATCGATCATTTGGATAAAGCCTTTAGGGTAATGAAAGCATATCTACTGACTTATGTTCGTACATATTTGGTACTACGACAACCACATATATAGCCAGAAAGTGCTTATACTGACTTCTTTCTTGGAAAATTACTCAAATAGTGCATTTAGTATCCACGCCTCCTTTGCGCAATAAATGACAATATATGGTAATAGTAACAAAGTCATTCAAATAATTTAATTAATATTATTTTACATAAATAATACTACTAAACTGATACTACTATAATGATTATTATGATTGTAAAAATATAGTCGTATCGAAAATACACATATTTTTAACATACAATTTTTCATTATTTTTTTTTATAAATATGCAATAAAGAAAGGAAAATAAAGAATACACATTAATACATACAGTTTAATTAAATTATATATTAAACAGTTTTAATAAAAATAACATGATTGTAAGTGCTAAATTATCTTAACTAATCACTAAATACCAAACAAATATTTTTAAATACATATATATTTAAGTATAATTACTGAGTTCTTTGTTTTTTAAAATATATGAAGTAAACAATAACAAAAATTAATTTAAAATAACTAAATATATATTCTCAATGTTTTATGTGATATGTCCCTGTTGTGTTACTTAAAATGCAATTATTCAGTCCTTTGTTTTTTGTAGCCATATGGCACCGACTCGTGGTCTTTGTGGAACCACCTTTTTGTAGAATTTGGACGATATATTTTGGTTTCCTTGCGATTTATAATTTCGTGTATATTTGTTCTTCTTATACGGTTTGAAGTTATGTATACGGGCTCTGAAGGTCGGAGAACCATATTCTTTATAGTTTCGAAATTTACAATTTGTGAGGCTGCATGTGTCAAGGATATACCTTTAACTTTGCACACTATTTCTTCATGCTGATTGCTAGGTGATAATACTTTGTAGGCGTAATTTTTTGGACCGCCACTTGCAAATTCCGTGATGTAAGCCCCAGGANCTTTATAGTTTCGAAATTTACAATTTGTGAGGCTGCATGTGTCAAGGATATACCTTTAACTTTGCACACTATTTCTTCATGCTGATTGCTAGGTGATAATACTTTGTAGGCGTAATTTTTTGGACCGCCACTTGCAAATTCCGTGATGTAAGCCCCAGAACCATAAGATTCCAATTCATCTGTCAAGTCGCCTATGAATTTGCCCACTGTTGGTTCAAATTCTCCTTCTCGGTGGGTAAAGATAATTGAATCTGTATCGTAATATAACACCCTTTCTCCTAATTGCTCCAAGTAACTGTATAGTTTTAACCTTGCTTGTGTCGTGGTGTAGGCTGCAATGCACACATTAACGGTGGCAAGAGAGTCACAAGCTTCTTCTTTGAATTGCCAGTTTATTATTAGGGTATTTTCATTTACGGGTAATGCGTGGCATACATCAATGGAAGGGTTTGTTAACATATCAAAGAATTATTTAGGTGTATTGACTATTGTTGTTTTTGTTTGGTTTTCTCTCTGGCCAAACTTGCCCCAGAATGAATTAAGCATTAATTTAGCTAGAGAACGAAGACCAGGATTTTCACAGATTTCATTAAATTCTAATTGAACGTTTTCCCGGACTAGAAACTCTTCGATATATTCGTTACGTTTTTCTGTTGTATCACACGTTTTAGGCCATCCGGAAGCTTGCTGCTTTGCTTTTATAAATTTGTTCATCATAGTAGTGAACAAACCTTCTGCTTTTGTAATTTTGTCAAATTTTTGCATCTCAATTCCAGACTTCATAGATCTCCATCAATCTGTACCCTTTCTCCAAAGCTTTCATTACTTCATCGGCAACCCATGTTCCACTTAAAGCTCTTTCATCCTCTTCATGACTGCAAGTGTTCTTTTGCATTTGTTGTCCACATATCCGACAAAGTACAAACATAAGTTTGTTATTTATCTTCTGTGGTAGAACAGGGTGATACAAATCCTGAGGCGGTAAGATTTTGCATTTTATAAGACCATCTATTTCTTTTAAATCTAGGGCGTTACATTCTTCACCGAGATAGATTTTCGGATGACCTACAGGAAATTTGCCATATTTACAAACCCAGGGGTATAGGGAACACACATCTAGATACTTGATTTTTTCACCCTGATTAACTTTATAGTATTCGAAGGTATTGCCCGTTCTTCCACCATAAAATGCATCGCGAGGGTTTAATGGAGCATTAACAAGTAGAGCATGCTTTTCAGTATACAAATTAATATCTTTATTGTCTTTCATTAACGTACGAAAGTTGCATTCCCATATTTCGATGATATCGTATCCTAGATTTTTGAGACGTTCCGTTTTGGCAGCAGTGCTTTCAAAGCGTCTTTCTAAAGTATCTGACGGATCTTCATATGTGGGATTGTTTCTGTTGTATTTGAAACAATGTGCACAACCGTGGTAATAGCACCCATAAAACTCAAAGATTTGATTTGTTTCATTGCAATAACCATCGACTTTTACTCCCTCCAACACTGTTTCCTTTCCTTTGGCAGCATGCATTATACTTACACCACGTTGTCTTTCTTCCCACACCAACCACTGTATGGCTATTCTACTCTGGTTATCACGCCATCTGTACCCGTTCTTAGGGATAATACCTATGGTGTTTGCCTGGAGGAAGTTGCGACGAAACACTTTATTGCATGCTGACGCTATGGTGCAGGCTTCGGTAAAAGGGCACACTTTACTTGTTTCCAAAAGCTGCTGCCTAAATTTCAAACAGGCCGTAGTAAGTATTTCTACATCGGATATACAATATTCCATTAGCTCTTTCTGAAAGTCGAACACGTATTTTTCACGGATCTTCTCTGAATGCCATTTTATTAAATTAGTTCTTTCACTCCCTACTAAGTTATCAGGACTATAATATTTTAGAGCGGGCAATGATCCTTTATAATTTTCATTTCCGGATGTATTAAAAAGATGGGGGAAATACCCCTTTTTCAGCTATATCAACCCAAATGCTTTAGGTAGTTTAGACAACGCCATTGGAAAATAATTAAGAGAGTCCAAAAATTTTAAGTTATCCAATTCCATTAAAATCAGCTTTGTGCCACGCATAACTAATTCAGGAGTAAGATTCATTTTAGTCAGGATATGGTTTAAAATAAATTGATGATCAAAGCTACCTCCATTATGGGCCATAACTACCACCTTCTTGAATAATTTTCTCTGATTTAGCAGAAATTCAACGAATCTTGTAATCGGGTCTACTTTCAATACCTGTAAGCGGACACCACACTTCGAGCAGGTATTTTGTTGTGAGTTCATACATATATCACAACACTGTTTGTATACACAAAGGTTCGGTTCATGATGGAGGGATCCATTATCTCGCTGATTTTCTTGTCTTGTTTCTAGATCGTAAAAAACAAAAAGCAGGTCGTTAGTTTTGGGTTTCCTTAAGTCGGGTTGTATGAAGCACAGATGATCTTGAGGTACATGAACGTTGCATATTTTACAAAATATTTCACCGCAATGGTGTTTTCGGTCGGCTTTTATGGTCCTCAAGCATTTGTCACAATATGTAATTTGATCGCAAACTGTGCTTTGTCCCAATGAACCTGATTTTCTGTGATTATCGTAACAATCTTGACCTCTGAATGATCTTTTGCAACAATCGCATATTAACTTTTGCGCGGGGGGACATGTGGGTGTTTGTTGACAACATGGGCATGTACCCCCTCATCTGTGCTTATTTTTGTGGTCGTATGGAGTGTAACATATCTCGCAATAATAACCACAACAAAAAGCAGCAGTCAACGAAGTTATTACGTTATAGTGACCCTTATGGTGGAGTAAATTAAGTGCAGGTCCCTCACTACCACCACTGAATATGACTTCACGACCTTTGTTTCCATAATCATAAACAACAATTCTGTAGCCCGTAAGGTATCTCTGAAATATTTGTATACCAGCACCCTCATCAGGAATCGAGACACTAGCGTTATGACAAAGCTCCAAAGCCCCTTGCCGCTGTACTTTTCCTATATGTCTACGCACTTTTGTATATTCACGATCCTTGTCAACGTAACTCTTTGCAACCACTAATGCGCGAGGTAGGCATAAGTTATCTTTGTTGTTAATAGAAATAATTCCTCTACGCATACTGCATTCTTCATCAAACGTATTGAACTTACGAGCCCGGCCTTTTCCGCGACCAACAGGCATTTTCACAGTAGTCACACCAAGGTAAAATGTTTCCGTCTTGATTCCAGACGAGTTTGATTGGTATACACTGCTTATTATACTCCATATGTCGTCATAAGTAATCTCGTTCACTGGTCTGAAACGGGCCCAGCCCTCGCCCCGTAGAAAATCCTTGGAGCAGAATGAAAACGCTACTTGATCCTGGAGATCCAGATCTTCTGTACCTTTAGCTATTATTTGGTTAACAGCATCCTTTATCCATCCTACAGGTTCAGTACCATCAGCTATGGGTTTAATTTTAAATTCAATAGTACGCCCGGTCAAATTGAATCGGCGTACCTTTTTCAGCATATCTTTAATGATAATAAATTTTTCCATATTTCTCAACTTATCGTAAAGGGTACCGCAAAGGACGTCTTCACAATACAAATCGTCGTTGAAAACTGATTGATTGTCTATACAGCTCTCTTATTTATATGCTCTGGATATAGGGTATCGATGAAACCTGAAAGCAAAGGGGCTGATTAGTAATGTGAATTTAAATTATTAACTCGTTAAGTACATAGCATGAATGTAAGTACCTCTAGTACCAGATTATCTCCAGTTTTAACTTAAAATTTAAGTAGTAATTCTGAGAACACAAGCTTTTGGAAACTGAGACAAATATTAATAATAAAAGTATATTTTCCTTAAATAGAAATATTTTTAAAATTTTACACTATTACAACACTAGTAATAACACATACGTACACCAATTCACGGATTCCTATTTACATCCTCAAGTAACATCAAACTATTTTATATTTCTAAAAGGTCGTCTGAAATTCATTATTTCTTCTTTATTTACATAAAACAATGCATTTTTACAAACTTTATGAATTGAATTAGTTCACAATGAATAAATAGATCAAAATTTTATGTGGATATAACGCTTAGAAGACATATTAATCTGGTCTCAAACTTCTTCTGCTTTTTATACAAGTTTAAGAAATTGAAAATTTTCCATTTAGATGCATTTAAATTAAAGTATCAATTATATCTTGAAAGCGAACACTGTAGTAGTGCTTATATATTAATTTTTGTACAATAACATTAGTAAATTTTTCATACAATGAATTTGTTAAAAATGGACAATACAATCACTATTAATGACACCGATTATAATTGTAATGACCTTAAAATACTTTTATATACTTTCTCAAATGAAAACTCAAAATTATTTCATTTAGTGTATTGTTTTCTCCGCTGGCTTACGTTGGGCTTTTAATATATTTTAATTTTAATATATGGAATTATTATGCTTATTTTCGTTTCTGTTGTTTAATGTAGAATCAATAGACTACATAGTATAGTCAATTAAAAATATCTGACGTCATACCCATATTAAAAATTAACAATTATATACCAATAGTTATAATTTTACATAACCATAATTACTCTTTATAGAAGCACATATATGTTTTACATATTTGATGAATATGGATCATTTATATCGCTGTTTTTCTGTTATGATGATATTATAGATACATGGAGCAACTTTAAGGACCTGTTTTAAAAGAAATTTCTACTAAAATATACTATATACTAAATGGGGTTATATTATTAGCATTAATATTTTTAACCAAATTATCTATTGCGAAAATATACTTGCTGCAATTTTTGACTTTGCCTATTACCAGAAAAGGTGTATTTTTAAGTAGCGCATAAAAATGTATTTCAATGTACATGTTTTGGTATCAGCGACCACATTAATGATCAATGTATATTAAACGTTCGTTACAATCATTTACAAGGCAAAATATGAAGTGATTATTTGCCAATTCAAGGACATAAATGGTTAAATGGTTAAACAAATACAGTAAATAAAATTGTATGTCCCTTTCTTTTCTTCTATATACTCATAGATATTTTCAAATTTATGGCAAATTATGATTCCACTCTTATATTTTTGCTTTAATTTACTTGTTCTACATAAAAAATGTCTTATTGTAGCAAAACAACAAAATAACCAAAAATTGGTTAGATTGAAGTCTACGGTATAAGAATATATACATATTTAAGGAACAAATCTAAACTTGTAAATAGTAGTAAAGGTGGTGTATTCGCGTTTATTTTAATTCTTTTGCATAAAAATATGTTTTATTATTGTAGGAAATCGTGACAAATGAGTAACAGTTACAAATTGATAGTTATACAAAGAAATGCAAATTGCTAGTTTTAATTCATAAAACCATAAAGAGTCAAAGGCAAAATGCAAATTGGACCTCAAAAATAGTACTTATATCGGGGATAAAGAACAGGTAAATAAGATTGACTCCAACTAACACGTCCTTGTTACAATTAAAAGGGAAATTTTACTCTATAACACTGTGTGCCATATATAACTACTAGTATCTAGATATGATCTGTCTAGTTTAGTTATTTTTTCCCAGTGTGATAAAAATAATTCAAACAATTTTAGTAACATTTTGTAGGCATTATAAACTGTACGGTGTATAACGGTAATTTTAATTAGTTTCTTTAAATTACGATAATAAACATGCTCTTGAATCGGATGGACTTGTTTGTCACACATCTGGGAAGACAAACTTATTTTTCATTTTCAATTCTATTCTATTCAATTCTTGTATTTTATTATTATCTACAATAAATTAATAAACCTTGTTAGGCAAAGAAAATCGTTTAAACCTTTTGATTCTTCCAGCTGCAAGTGACATTAAGTATTTTTTAAGTTAACTTAAAAATACTTGTCCCTTGAAGTAAGTATACACAGATGACAAAATAGCAGATCAATATAAAAACGCAGCTTTCGCTGTTTCTTCTTGACTTTAGAAGATTTTTTTATTTAATAATATTCCTGGCGCACTGTAATATCTGCTTCCTTTTCTAGTTCGTTATCCCTTTTTAATTCAAGATATTCCATTTATGTATAATTGTTACAATTTTACGTCATCGAATATTTTTCATTTTAACCTATATAAGTGCAGAGTCTAACTTTATAATTAATTTAGCTTTAAATGTATAATTAAAATGTCTTATTAAGTTAATTCATCTCGATATCTTTCTTTTCCTCTATCCCAAGAAACAAATCTAAATATGGTACTGTAGGTACCACTTAAAATTGTTTATCTAGTAGTTTGCTTTTGGGTATCAAAACAAAAATTTAAATGTAAATCTGGAGACTAAATCACAAAGGTTTCATAAATTTGTTGATCTTGACAGCATATGACATAGAAACAACCATTACAAAACATTTCATGTGGGGTTCTTATCACCTGTTATATGTAGTATATCTGTAGTAAATTCAAAATACATCACGTCCTTTAATTTAATATACAACCTCTGAAGTCTTCATATATTTCCATAAGTAAAATGGATATTGATCTTCATCTACATTTGAAAGTTACCTATGATGGTCATATATATATATATATAGGCCCGTAAGTAGCTTAATAGAAGTCAAAACAATGCTGTTAAAAAGATTTAAAAACAAAATCTCAAAATGTTCATAAAAGTTATTTGCAAAATTTGCGTTTGCGAATTTTATTTGTTCCTTCAACGCTGTTACGCGATATTGGTATTGATTTTGATAGGGCATACATTTTAATTTTGAGGTTTTTGTATGCATAATTTACATTAATATTCTTCAAATAATTTTCATAAACATTTACTTTAAAATGTATATAATAAATATATCAAGTGGTTTTATGGAACCTACAAACAGTGAGCTATATTAACAGACACAAGAATTTGTATTTTTAGATTATTCTATAGAATGCATGCATACGAGCTATAAAATTATCAAGTATACATTTTTAATTGGACAGTTGTTAAAAATTCCTCTAGCAATAAAAATCATCTTTATCTCGCATTATTGTTGTTTTATATTTCAGATCATATATGGCTAGTTTTACACGTGCTTGCACTTTCATGCATTTGCATATAATATAATATAATAATGCATATAATGCATTTAATACATCTTATTCATAAATAGCTATTTCAATTCAAAAACATATTCATATTCGTATTGAAAAATTTAATTTTAATTCTAATATTTTGAATAAACAACACAATTATTGGCATATTTATTCTGATTTTATATTATTATAGCACACCTAGATGCACTTCTTGAAAAATTTTAGAAAGTAGAGTTGCTATACGTTTAAATGCCATTTGCTATACCTACCATTAGAGTACATTCTTACAAAATTACCAAAAAGTAAGTGTACAGGCCGACAAAATTTTACGAAAATCCAGAACCAGAGACCGGATCTATTGTACCCAAAGGATTTTGGTGCGCTATTATGAATCCAAGCTCAGAAATGACCCATCACCCTAGGTTCTCGAGATATTCTAATCTAAAAGTGCAAAAATCCTTCGGATACACTAGGTCCGGTTTCTGGTTCTGAAAATTGTCACCCTGTGTAATATAACAGCCATTAACTACATAGTTTACCACCGCGCAGCAACGGCTGTCTTTGTAGCGCAGTTACGATACAATTTTTTCAAAAATATTGAAAAAGTATATTATACTAATATACTTTCAAAACAATGGCCTGATGTTCGATTAGATTTTATTTGGATGACGTATTATGGTGATATGTGCTATTTAATCTTGTTTACGACATTTATTTTAAAATTACTAAAACTAAGATTCTTAAGAGTGTACCTAATTTTTAGATAAATCCTTTTATCTTGGTGATTTTGATGTAGCAGCCTTTATAACGACGTTATTGTTGAAAAAACATACTTTGCAATTATTTTTTATAAACAATATTAGCTCATTTTGCTATGGTTTTTATTTTCATATACTATGTATATATAATATGCACGTTGAAACATTAATATACCTGTATTTGATAATTACTTATATCAATCCTAACGATGAATAACTTTTTAAAGATCTGAATAACAACATTAAACGTATCAAGAAATGTAAAATACTTACAGACTATTTAGTATAAGATTGGAAAATATGCAATTAACCTAATTTTGAACTTGTAACTTATTGCAGTTTAACTTATTGTAAGGCTATTTGCCTGATGTGAGATTATAGAACGTGTAATTATTATATATTTTTAATACTTCTCCACTAAAATTTCGACAGCCTTTTAAAATGGAAAATAAGCAAGTGTTCTTAAAATAAATGCATAGGTATATCAAATAGTAATTGTGTAAGTAATTTTTAAAATTTAATAGAATGCAAAAATAATATAGATACTAGAAACACGCATGTGTGAATTCACTGTGTGGGAATAAAAATACATGTTATTTGTGCCTTAGTCTGTTTAATCAGCAAAATGACTTACCTGTGTAAAGTATAAAGGTGCAAATCGTTGGAGTCGGAATCAAAACAATAATACAATTATACTTTAACATTAAAATATTGAGAATACGTATAGAATAATATAATAATTATATGTTGAGATTGAAAACACTAAAATACTGAGAGTTCAGTCCTAGACGCGTACTTTCTCCTTCAGAACGAACAAGTAAATAACGTTACACTAACTTCTCCTGATCGCAATCTCGGGATTCAACGGGGATGCAGTCCTCCTCCCACTTAACTGACTACAAGATGTAAATGCAAACTAATGCATTTATGAAATAGAAAAGAAAACAACGACCACCCTCCTAACATATGGCCGTCTCAAAATTCCAGACAGGGTACCTACTCACTCCTCTTATCACGACTACCCATATTCTACAAGACCACCCGGATGTAGCCTAAAACAAGCTGATACAAGTTTGAATAGAAAACAAAGGATGTAACTAAAATAATTGTTACTTGTAGCAGCGACAATCACGTTTTTTGGGGATACTATAGAAAATTTTATATTTTACTATTATAGTCAATAACACCGGCCAAAAATACCAGAATGAATTTAATGGAAAATTTACTGCCTTATTAAAGACAGAATATAGTACCTGCTACAAAATAATAAGCATTTATTTTCTTGACGCCCTTAGCATCCTATTCTGTCATGCTGACAGACATTACCACTGCCTCGTTTTAAAATATTAGCAAACTTGTATAGGTGGCAGATAGTTTAAATATTCCATAAGCAAATATTAGCACCTCTTTACTTTTCTCTCAAAGAAGCTGCAAGTATATTTACATTTACTTATATAAATTTGTCATATTTCGAGAAATACAGCTAGTACTATTTTTTTGCTGCAATGTCTATATACATTTTTAATTAAACATTCTTATGGATTTTAGATAAACTAATAATTATAAATACAATGAATTCAGGTCCATGTTCTTTACCCATCCAGTGATGTGTTTTTTGAAATTTTCTTATTTCAACCATTTTAAAGTGATATTTTTAGTAAATTAATAAGTTTATATTATTTCCGTTGCGTCCTTCTTAATAAAAAGGAGATGTTTGAACTTATTGTATCGCCATAGTAGAGCAAAGGTGGGTAATTGTTTTTCTTATTTAGTTATTGGGACAATAAAGATTGTCGTATTCCTTTTTACTTATCCTTTCACAGTGATATTCACTGTTGTACGCCTAAAGTATGCTAATAATCGAAACGGTATTGATAAGTTAAACATAAAATAATAAGAATGAAGCACTATTACAGTACCACAAATATTTAAATTCATAATGATGAGACCTCTCATACTTTGGATCCTAGAATTTTCAAAACAATTCTCGATTATTTAAAGCAAATTATTTTTAAATCTAATTTAAACATTAAATACTTCATTCACACGATGTACTTGAATATCTGCCTAGATGTAAATGGATAGATATACATACTAAAGGCTTGTCTGTTTCCACTGATTAAGAATGTCATCGGCTAGCTATTCTCATGAAAATATTATTTCTACCAAAATATATACCCTACGTTCGCATGCATTTCGCTTCATTATCAGAAGGGATGTTTAAAATATATTACCATTTTCATAAATCTAATTTAAACATTAAATACTTCATTCACAGTGATGTAACCGGATATGGATAGGTATACTAAAGTTTTGTCTGTTTCCAGTGATTAAGTACTTATGTAACTTCGGTAAGCTTATTATTCCCATATAATTAAGAAAAATAATAAATAATATTTCTACCAAAACATGTCCCCCACGATTGCGTGCATCTCGCTTTTTTATCAAAAGGTATATTTTAAAATATATTATTATTTTAATATATTATATTTTCCACCATCATCACATACGTAATTTCCTCCCTTCCACTAAGTACTAAAAATATATACATTTTTCTAAATATATGCAAATATTCCATAATAATTATATTAACAGAGTAACAGATTGATGCACCAAGATAATTTGAACGCTATTATGCCTTTGCTTGTATGCATTTTTTCATATCTCAATCAATTTTTAATAAAACAATATTTTCTAAGAGGGGTTCAATATGATTAAAACGCTAGTCATTATCTCTGATAGAAAAATGGATTTAATAATATTTATAATTTCAAATTCTATTATTTTGCTAATTAATAGCTTTTTTCAATGCTGTGACATGTGCGGTAGTTGTCGGATAATAAAATTCCGTTACATTCTGAGGTTTTAACATCTACCACGGAAATATTGCCGTACGGGAATCGTAAGGTAAAATTATACTTGAGGCAGAAGCATAGTGTCGTATCCGTACTAGACATTATACACATGAAGGTAATGGTCTTGTCTAAAGATGTTATTTATTTTAAATCTATGATATTACAAAAACATACAGTTTTATTTGTATTCGAAACAATTTGGCCCCAAATTTTTATCTCAATACGTGATTATAGCGGAAAGTCTGCTAGAGTTGTCTAATTGTACAGTGTAAATGAATTAACTTTAGTTTTATTTTATCATATTAATATATCTTTTATTTGTATGGTCATGTATGTAAAAATATCAGTTCCATTATTAGAGAAAGTAACAGATATTAGTACCTGTCTTTTTTCATGGTTAGCTTATTTTATTAGTTTAAAACTTTGGATGTACTATAAAATCCCTCGTGAAAACTAAAAATATTCAATCATATTTTTTATTTTTGAACAGCATTATATAAATAACAAAATTAATTTATTGAAAATAGACTGAATAGACGTAAATATTTGTGAAAGTAAGTACACATAATATTAAAAGAGGTACTTATATTGGGCTAATAGACCCAAACATATTCAGGTTAAGCTATGAAGACATTAATAGTTACATCGTGGGATGTTTATACACATTGTACTTTTAAATGTTTGTGCGCTATTATATTTATAACTGTATTATTTCAATTAAAATAAAAATACTGCTGTCAGTTATAAGTCATGAGACTATTGCTGACATATTGATTCACTTAAAAGTATCATATTAACACCTCATTACGTTTTATCATAGAAGTTGCAAGTGATGCTTATTTTTGTATAAATTTGATACATTCTGCTAACCACCAACTATAGGTAATGAATATAAAACTAACTAAACATTTACTTTATAATCATTTAAAATTACATTTTCAAATCCCTTATTTTGAATTTTTATTTTAACACTGTGGGGGCATCTCGCGATAGTTATTTGGCAACTATGGTATGCCATTACATATTTTTAATAGAACAAAAGACAAAGAATATACAGAGATTGTCGATTCGGTTTCAGAGTTTGTATGTGCGTATACTATCACTACTCCAGCTATGATACCACACACGCGATATACAGAGCCATAATAGAGATTTATTTACAACCGATATAATTTTGTTCCCAAATTTTGATCTAATTATAGAGGAAATCTTCACCTATTGTAAAGGATCGCAATGTATTTTCTCTTGACAGTTATGTTTGGGCGATGCCTGTTTTTCCGTAATTTTTAAGGTGTTGTTAGGGTTCATATATTTTCGTTTCCTATTTGTACCTTACAGTTTTCTGCTGTAGCTCTAAAGTATGCTAATAACGAAAACGATGTGTTAAAATTAAGCTTGTAATATAAAATATACCTCTGGGGCTTTGTCAATTACCGATAAATATTTTTTTAATTATTAAAGCCTCTACAAACACTTCTTAAATGTAAGTAAAGCATAGAGTGCAGTCTTTATAAACCTTAACCCGTTTTTGAGATAGAAATAAGTGTATATTATAAGCGAAAAACGTTGCAAATTTAATTAACATTTTTCTGTCTCAGGGACACTAAATCTGTAATTATTGAAATGACAGACTAATAAAAACAATTATGGCAACGTCCCAGAGTACACGGGCTTTGGTACATAAATACTTCGTCGTAATACCTCCTCGGCCTCCTCTACATTTTAGTGCAATACTTATTTATCGAGCACTTTAATAGTCCATTTAATGATTTTTAGACAGTTACAATACTTACCTGAAATCTTGGTAAACAGGATTATGGCCATTCTTTGATACACAATTATCTAAAAATAATTATCAACGTATATATAGCCCGGCATAACCTAGATAGTTATGCAATTATTAAGAATAAATAACTATTTTCAATTCCTAAAATATTACTCTGCTACCTGTGTATATACTAATTATAAATAATCATGCGCCGGATGTTAATTATTATAATCGAACGAAATAAATTAATTGTCTTATGTTTATAAATTTACCTTACTCCAATCTCAAGTCCCGACGCCTTTGCACCTGCCAGCCGATCTGGGCCGAGCGACCCCCGATCGCACACTACTGAAGGCCACAAGCGGGCGTCCCGACGTCCGGGCGTCCGTCTGTCTCAACTGTCGCCTTACCTACTTAGAAGTTTGACCTATGTATAATTTATTACAATTATGACATGGAATTTTATAAACAACATTAGATTTTTCAAGAGTTTTAACAGAAGATTTAATTTTGGAAAATAATAATAATAAATATCAAAACTGGCTCTGAATTATTATAGTAGACAGCCTGTATATACAGTGTAATTTACTTAACGTCGGAACACCTCCATATTTAGGATGGCGTTGGACGATTTCCAAAATTCTTATTTTTATGTGGTAGTACTCAAAAAAGACTACTTTTTGATGTTATATTTTTTGACATGTGATCTTTTCTACGGCCTACTATCATTAAGAAAGGACCCTCAAAAATTAAAAAAACGACGCATTTTTTAAGAAAGAAATGGATAGCATTTTCGATTTGATCACACCTCAAAACCCTAAATCCAAAGTTTCATTATTATAGCTTTTACAGGGTGTTCACAAAATAGGTGCAAACTTTGTAAAAATTTCACTCATTGCAGTGTCTTGTATTAAGTGGAAAATATTTTTATGGTATATTTTCATAATTGTAATTAATTTTTCCATGCAGTTTCATTGATTTCACTCATACAGGGCGCTCACAATAAGACAGCCAAATTATATACAGGCCGTTACGAATTAATTTTTATATGTAACGTTTCGTCTCTCCAGGACCATCATTAACTTATTTTTTTTAAATCCGACACTGGAATTTTTATTACATTTTTTGCAAGCCTTCAAGACCCCCAATGTTTGCCTCAGCCCGAACCAGATTCAGACGTTTTGTCTCGAAAAATTCATCTTCAGTGTATTCGTTCCAAATTTATCTAACTTTTTTACTTAAATTTTTTTGTTTATTGAATTGTCGAACACTGTAAGTGTCGTTAGACCCTTTGAAATCCATCTAGTTATTTAAACTATTACCACCACGCATTAAAATAATACATTATTAGAGTTTTATTCCCGTGTCCAGTTATTTCTATGCTTCTCGAGTGCTCAAAATTCAAACAAATTTCGATCTATTTTTTTTTTTCAGGATATTCATACAAATACATCTGACAATGCTCTTTCACAGTTGCAGTTACTGATATAATAAATTCCGATAATATTACGCTGATCTTCATTTTTAACCTTTGCCAAAACGAAAATGTTTTTGAACATTTAATGAAATTTTTGAAAGAATAATATTCAGTTAGCGTTTTGGTTGTTCATATGCATTTTTAAGAATTAATTTGTCATAATAAAATTAAAATTGTAATAATGTTTTAATTTTGACACACTTACTGAGTTATGTATGAACAAGTGATGGTAATAGTTAATAATAATAAATGTTTTATTGTAACGCGTGGTAGTAATAGTTTAAATAACTAGATGGATTTCACAGGGTCTAACGACACTTACAGTGTACGATAATTCAATAAACAAAGAAGTAAATACAAAATTTTGATACATTTGGAACGAATACACTGAAGATGAATTTTTCGAGACAAAACGTCTGAATCTAGTTCGGGCTGAGGCAATACAGTATTGGGGGTCATGAAGGTTTGTAAAAAATGTAATAAAATTTCCAGGGCCGTATTTAAAAATTGATGATGGTCCTGGAAGAACGAAACGTTACATATAAAAATTGATTATGTTATTCGATAGAGGGCAAAAAGTAGCCATGAGAAAGTATTGTTCTTTTTTCAATATCACCTCAAACAAGGCTGAAATTAAACAAAAACTGATTTCCAAAATTTCGTTTTTTTTTTAAATATTTCGAAAACTATAGTAGGATCATATTCGATGCAAAGTAATAAATCATTGCCTGTCAAGGGATCCAGTGCCATAGGCTTTTAAGGGTTTTAGAAATTGAATAATTTCCTTATACATTATGAAGGGATGAAGGGATCAGTTCACGTTTGGCACCCTTGTTCCTACAAAAATTCCTTTATTCTCATAAACTATTTATTTTAAATGTAATTTATTATATATCCAATTTGTTTTTTAAATTCCACATATGTACTATATTTTACCTCTGTACGCGCCACTGTTTAATTGTATTTTGGAGGCGCTCTCTCATTTACGATCAAGCTCGCCAGGTTAGTATTTGACGTATAACCGACCAATTCGTACACTCGATGCACCTGGGCGACTACAGCTACTACCAGAACACAGTGCGTATGCAGCGGTATTTCAGATTTAACATTCAATTTCATTTTAAATTTGAAATGGTTCATCTTACGCCTCCTAAAAATGATGACACGTTTTTCCTTTGATAAAATACCGACAACTTTTTGCTCTACTTTGCATCGAATACGATCCTACTATAATCATGTTAGCCTTGATTTTCTAAAGGCATAATGTTGGCCCCTTGATTATGCAACTTTGCCCCCATTTAAGCTACTTCGTAGCTCTTACCGTTTCCGAGATCCCTGTAGTGAGAAGCGAATTCGTAACAGCCTGTATATATTTTTTATTATACCAGAAATGACTTTCACTATAAAATAAAATTTAATTACTGTTTTCTATTAGCCCACTGTTCAGTTCGTCTCTTATTTCTAATAACTGCTCAACTGATGTGGTGTTATTTGTCGACATGCTTGTCTAATTCTATTACATAAATCTTCTGGGGGTCAATACACTTTATTTTTCAAAGTTCGCCATAAAAAGAAATCAAGAGGCGTCAAGTCTGGGGCTCTTGACGGCCACTCAACTAACGGACTATTGCGACCTATCCATTTTTTCGGGAAATCCTCATTCAACCAATGACTTACTATTACCGCATCATGAATAGGTTCTCCATCTAGTTGAAGGTAGAGCTTCTATCTTACATGAAGAGGAAGTGCATGTACAGAATCGTAGAAATCATTATTTAAATATTTTTAAAAATCTCTGTGTTTAGATTAACGTTAAAAAAAGAGCCCGATTATTCGATCATATAAAATCCCACAAAACACATTACTTTTTTAAATTAAGATTTATGTAATACAATTAGGCAAGCACGTCGAGAAATGACATCACATCTAATCAGTTGAGGAGAGTTATTAGAAATAAGAGGAGACAATTCAACAGTGCATATAAAATGATGCTGGGCTAATAGAAAACAGTAATATTTAAATATTATTTCGTTGTAAAACTCATTTCTGGTACAATAAAAAATATATACAGTGCTATTTATTTAAAACCTGACATAGGCCAACTTTTTTATTTGAAGTGATAGACTAGTACTTCCAAATGCAAAGTTGTAGGAAATAACTTGATTAAGAAAAATTTACAAATAATTCTTTCCGGTGTTACCAGATTTCTGCAGTAGCTACTAAAACAATATTTTTTTAAACACCGTATTTTTTTCACATAATTTAACAAACCTTTCGATTCTAAATAGAAAATGTTATGTCACATTTCTTTATTGGAGTAACCGTTTTCGAACAGTCCGCAAAAACAACGAAATATTCTGCACTCGGCAGGAACTAAAAGAAGCCAACACAGCAACAGTAGGCCTTGGATATTAAACTGTAACAAAGTGATTTTCCAACGCCCCACATTTGTGTTCTTTTTATTTTATTTTATGAATAAATATGATGTACCGCACCGTCATTCTTTTTGGCATTTCAAACACCGTCCGTCACCGCGCAGCGTCCCGCCGGTAGCTGGCAAATTCACACTGCGATGACAATCGTACGCCAGTCTTCTACCTGCCAGCGAAGGAATCAGTTGTGCCGAGCTCCAGCCTGCCGTCTAGCCAGCGATACATCACCGCCTGAGTAAGAATTTTACAAGTCCCGCTTAGGAGAACTACGCAGCCGCTACCGAAACGTCACCAGGACCTAGGAATTAAGCCGCCGTCAGCATTTTAGTTCACCACGAGGCATCGCAGAGACCAGTCCAGCCGTCAGCCGTTCCAGTAAGACCTACGTCACCAGTAAGGAATTGGTAAGATTTCACCAAGTCCAGCCTGAAGAAACTGCGCAGCCGCTAGGATTCGCCGTACGAATATAGCAGACAGGCTGTATTCAAAGTTTTAGTCTACCAGGAGCCGTCGTCGCATTCAGTCGAGCCACCAGCCGCCCCTCCCGAAGATACGTCACCGCTGGAAGTAGGTGAGAATTCTACAAGTCCAGTTTAGACCACCTGCGCAGCCGCCGATCCGAGACGAGGGACTTAGAAAATAAACAAATTTGGAGAAGTCAGTTCATCTCCAGCCGCCGCCAACACCAGTCCAGTCCGAAGACCGCCGAAGTAAGTTAGGTACCGCGCAGATTCAATGCGCAAGTCTCTTGAGGTGACAAGAGACCTGACGTGGTAATTGTACTGCAAAGTTAGTCCGGTTCCAGCATTCCGACCGACCAGACGTGCCCAGGAAGAGAAGTGAGTCAAGGTTTAGGGAATATAGGTAAATACTTGGCTGCTGTCCGTTGTACTAATCATATCTTCTCTTTTCAGTTATCCGCCGTACCACGACAAGGAAAGGTGCACTGTTGTCTCTGTCCGGTGCACTGGACCTAAACTGCGCGTTCGGCTTATAGGATGTTGTCTCCCCCTTTTTCTGTCCTATAAGTTGAAACGCAGGTCGTACCGAACCGCCGAAATACGACAAGGAGGGGTGCATTGTTGTCACTGTCCGATGCATTCGACCTAACTGCGCGCTCTGCTGATAGAATGTCGTGTCCCATTTC